GTGATGGTCGCCCGATGATGATGCTGCTGATGTTGATGATGATGATGATGGTGTCCCGATGATGATGATGATGGTGATGATGATGGTGACGATGATGATGATGTCTCGATGATGATGATGCTGAGGATGATGATGATGTTGATGATGATGACGGTGTCCCGATGATGGTGATGTTGATGAGGTTGTTCATGATGATGGTGAGATGATGATGATGATGATGGTGGTGTTCCGATGCTAATGATTATGATGATGATGATGATGATGGTGCCCCGATGATGATGTTATGATGTTGATGATGATGGTGACGATGATGGTATCCCGATGGTGATGATGGTGATGATGATGATGAGGTGATGATGATGATGCTGGTGTGCCGATGATGACGATGATGTGGATGACGTTCATGACGATGATGTTGATGATGATGATGGTGATGGTGACGTTGATTGTGAGATCGATTGTGACACCTACAGTGAGATCGATAGTGACACCGAATGTGAGATCGATAGCGAGATCGATAGTGAGATCGATAGTGGGATCGATTGTGTGATCGATCGTCAGATCGATTGTGAGATCCATCGGATGAAATAGATCGTGTGAGATCGATTGTGAGATCGATCGGGTGAGATCGATCGAGCGAGACCGATAGTGAGATCGATAGTGAGATCGATAATAAGACCGATCGAGTGAGACGTTGGTTCCCCCCCGAACCTCTTTATCACCCGAAGGGTGGTCGTATAGATAGTTATTTTAAAAGTTTCTGTAAGGTTTTTCGTGTTCTCGCTGTTTCGTGCTTCCGACGGTCTACGGCTGCCCACGAGGCCCAAGACATCAGCTCAAGACTGCCCAAGAGGCACCCAAAGGGGGCGCCACAACGGTGCAAGAGAGCCCCAAGACTGTTCAATAATGCCCCAATACGGCCCAAGGGGCGCCGAAGAAGGCCGACGAGGGCCCCAAGACGGCCCCAAGAGGGGCCCAAGAGGGGGAGCACGAACCGACAATTCGAGACTTCCGCCCCAAGAGGCCCGCAGGAGGCCCCAAGAGGCCCCTAAAAGAGCCCAGCAGCTCCCCCAGAGGCCCCCAAGGAGGCCCCCAAAAAGGCCCCCAAAGAGGCCCCAGGAGCACCCCAAATGGCCCCCAAGGGCCTCCAACACATACAAAGGACCGCCTGGCGTATCGTGGTATCGCAGCGTTGCATGACATGGTATGGCACGGCACAGCACGACAGAGCTAACCGTGTTAGTGCATATCACAGTATGGTTCAGCGTGCCATGGCATTGCATTACATCCCAGTGTCTAGCTGAGCCTAGCACTGCACGTCATGACGTATCATTGCCTAGCATGGCATTGCATCTCATGACGCATCGTGACGTGCTACGGCATTCCCATGCGCATGCAATTAATCGAACAGCACAGTTCTGCTCTGCGCAACAGTAAACCGAAATCATGCAAACATTACGCCCCCGTTGTTGTTCTTGCTGTCGTCCTCCTTATTTTACCGAGCAGCTCAGATCATGCCATAGCATTGCGTTGAATTGCATAGCCTGGCATGCCGTGTCTGTGCATACCATGTAACGCGGTAGCATCGGCCTTCGTAGGAAGCATTGCATGATATGGCTCAGGGTACCATCCCATATATCAGCATGGCATTTCACAGCACAGCACGGCATTGCATGCAATGCGCACTGTAGAGTATATCATGTTATCGCATTTTATACTGCATCGTGACATTGCGCTTTATAGCGTCGCATGGTGTATCATGGCATCCCATAGCATAGTGCAACATGGCACTGGCAACAGATCACCGGTCGACTGGTCGATGAGAGCGGGAGGTGAGGAATGAGGAGTGCGGACGAGGAATGAGGAAACATATAATGTTGACCTCATTATTTAATCGCTTCGCTCATTCCGCCGGCCCATATCGCGCACCGCCGTTGACTGGCCGAGTGGCCGTCGGCAGTGCGGAGCTGCAGGGGGCGGGGGACTCAGGTTGTGCCTCTTTTGTCGTGTCGGACGGTGGCAGGCGTTGAATGGGAACGTTGATTCTCGTGTAGTGCTGATGTCCTCTGTCGTTGCGAACGCGGTACGACGACGAGTACGACGAGTACGACGACCAGTACGACAAGTACGACGACGATTGGCGAGTAGGTTTTAGAATGCAGGATTGTGCATATATGATAATGAGCAGCAAACACAATATTTAAATGAAGTATGTGGATTTCCTCGGTAGCGTCATTTTTTCAACGGTCCCGGAACCCGAGGACGGCCTCCGAAGGCCTATTGTAGCATCGCTGGCAATTGCTTGCGCGCTCGAGGAAGAATTTGGGGGGGCCTCCTGGGGCCGCCTGGGGGCCTCCTGGGGGGTGTCTGCCGCCTGGGGCCAATAGTGTAGCGTCGCTGGCACTTGCTTGCGTGCTGGGGGGGCTTTTGGGTGGCCTGCAGGGGCCGCTTGGGGGCTTCTTGGGGGCCTCCTGAGGGCCTGTTGGGGGCCTCTTGGGGCCTCTTAGGGGCCTCTTGGGGCCTCCTGGGGACTTCTGAGGGCCGAGGGCTCGAAATATTGTTTCGTGTTCCCCCCCTGGGGCCTCTCTTGGGGCGTCCTTGGGGCCCTCTTGGGCCGTCTTGGAGCCCTCTTGGGCCGTCTTGGGGCCCTCTTGGGGGCCTCTTGGGCCCTCTTGGGGCGGTCTTGGGGTCTTCTTGGGCCGTCTTGGGGTGTCGTGAAGCCGAAAAGGTGGAAACGTGAAAATTCTTCCAAAACCTTAGGAAAAGCAATGAATTTTGCCTCTTGGGGCCCTCTCGGGAGTGCTCTTGGAGGCCTCTTGGGGCGTCTGGGGGCCATCGTGGGCGTCTTGGAGCGATCTTGTGGCATCTCGGACCCCTCATGTAGCATCTTGAAGGCCTCTTGGAAGCCTCTTGGCCCTTCTTGGGGCTCTCGGGGACGTCTCGGAGCCGCGTTGGTGCGCTGCTGGAGCGCCCTGGTGACTCCTCCCGGGACTCTCTCAGGACCTTGCCGGGGTACTTTCCGCCCGGGGACCCCCAGGGGCCGCCCCGCGCGCGCGAAGTAGAAATAGAAAGATTGTAAAGCAGTCACCGGAGATCTTAGCACGCCTCTGGCCCGTTGGGCCGGCGAATTCATGACCTCTTTGTTGTCTCAGTGCGGTCAGCACCCGACCAGTTAGAACCTAAGCGCGCGCGATGCGCGCGCGATGGTTCTAGTATGTATATATAACACAACACACAACACACAACACACAACAAACAACACACAACACACAATCCACAACACACAATACACAACACAACACACACCACACACAACACTCAACACACACAACACACAACAAACAACACACAACACACAACACACACAACACACAACACATACAACACATACAACACACAACACATCGCACACACAACACACAACACACACACACCATACACAACGCACACAACACACACAACACAAGACACACACACCATACACCCCATACACAAAACACACAACACACAACACATACAACAAACAAAACACAACGCACAGCACACATCACACAACACACACACACACACCACACACCACACACCACACAACACACACCACACAACGCACAATACACAACACGCAACACACAACACACAAAACACAACACACAACACACAGCAAACAACACACAACACACAACAAACAACACACTGTCAACACACACACACATCACAACACGCACACAACACACACACACACACTATTTCGCGTCGGCGGCTAGGCAGAGTGACTTCGCTGGCGGAAGACACACACACACACGCACACACACTTGCGCACGCACGCACGCACGCACCCACGCACCCACCCACCCACCCACCCACCCATCCGCCCACCCACCCGCCCACCCACCCGCCCACGCACCCCACCCACCCACCCACACACCACACCCACCCACCCACTCACGCACGCACGCACGCACGCATATACGCACACACGCACACACGCACACACGCAAACACGCACACACGCACACGCACACACGCACGCATGCACAAACAAATAAACAAGCACACGCTCACAAACACACAAACACACCAACACACAAGCACACAAGCACACAAAGACACAGACGCAATAACACATAATATACAAACGCACAAGCACACAATCACACAAACACAAAAGCACACAAACACACAAGCACACACATAACCCTAACTCACACATATAGATATTCGCCGGCCCATGGGCCAAGGGCGTGCTAAGATTTCTGACAACTGGTTGACAATATTTCTAGGTAGCGCCCGCGGGGCCGCCCCTGGGGCCCCCGGACGTAAAGTACCCAGGCAAGGTGCCGGCAAGGTGCTGGGCAGGTCCCTGCAAGGTCCTGGGCAGGTCCCGGCAAGGTCCCGGGCATGTCCCGGCGTGGTCCTGGCCAGGTCCCAGCAGGCTCCCAAGAGCGCTCCAGGAGCGCTTCAAGTGGCCTCCAAGAGAGCTCAAAATGGTCCGAGACGGTCCAAGAGCGATCCAAGACGCCACAGATGGCCTCCAGACAGCCCAAAGCGCCTTCAAGACGCCCCAAGAGTCCTCCAAGAGACCTTCCAAGAGTCGCCGAGCGCGTTCCACTACTCGCAAAGTGCCTACTCGCAAACGTCCGAAAAACACATGTTTGCTTTGATGTAATTTGTCGTAGATCCCCTGCGGGGGATCCAGGCCATTTGCGAGTAGTCACTTTGCGAGTAGTGGAACGCGCCTGTCTAAAGAGGGCCCACATCGGCAGAAATTGTGGCGGCGGCGGCAGAGGCGGCGTGGGCGGCTTGGGACGACGACGACGACGACGACGACGACGAAGACGACGACGACGACGACGACGACGACGACGACGACGACGACGACGACGACGACGACGACGACGACGACGACGACGACGGCGGCGGGCGGCGGCGGCGGCGGCGGCGGCGGCGGCGCCGCCGGCGACGACGGCGCGTGGCCGCCGGGGGCCGCGCGGGCCTCCCAGGCAGAGTACCTGCTCGAGCCGGCGGGCTCCCACGGCGTCTGGGGCGCGCCCCGCCCCCGCCGCGCCGCGGCGGCGCCGCGGCGCCGCGGCGGCGCCGCGCGGCGGCCGTCCGCTGCCGCCGCTCTTGCCGAGGGGGGCTCGACCCAGGGATCTCTGGGGAGGGAGGTCCGGAAGCGAGGTCCGAGAAGCTGGAGCTGAGGCTCGAGGTTCGAGGGTCGGGGAGCGGGAGGAGGAGGGGGAGGAGGAGGAACGGGGGGAGGAGGTGGAGGGGGCAGGAGGAGGAACGGGGGAGGGAGGAGGAGGAGGAGGAGGAGGAGGAGGAGGAGGAGGAGGAGGAGGAGGAGGAGGAGGAGGAGGAGGAGGAGGAGGAGGAGGAGGAGCCCTGCCACACGGGCGTCATGCCGAATTGGATTCCAGAGAGCGTGCTGTATGGCCGCTGCTCTCGCCGTGCTCTAGCCTCCAAGACCAGGGATACCAACGAGTGGGCTTGGGCCAGCGTGAGCTCAAAGGAGGCGGGCGCTTCCGAGATGGCGGGCCTCCTGAGGCTCTTCGCCTGCGGTACGGCGGGGCCCGCCCGTTTCGGGTTGGCCGGGATTGAGGCCCCAAAGCGCCCCGCCCAAAGTTCCTTTAGCTCTTCAGCCGCCCCGCCCGGGGCGAGGTCACCGAGAACGCCCTCGGGGAGGCGTTTCAGTGCAAGGACGGCGCTGCGATGATTGGGTGCGAAAGCTGTTGGCCCGTCTTGAGCATATCCTGCGAGGCCGCGCCCATTCTTTTCCGATGCAGAGCCTGCGCAGCGCCAGGCGAAAGAGCAGCGAGTCTGTCGTGGGCTCACCTGCGCGCTGCGCCTCCTTCGCTGGGCAGACAGGCGCGGCCAAACTCCAGCGGCCGCTCACGCGCCGCGGGGTCCTGCCCGCAGCTGCAGCCGCTCCGCCGTGGCCCTGGGCCCTCGGGGCCGCGTCCACCGCATCCGCGGGGCGGTGCCGCGCCGCCCGTGCACCCTGGGCAGCGGGCGTTGCTGCGTTGCTGGTCGCTGGACCCGAGCTGTCTCACTTGCGGGGGTCGCCTGACCGACCTCAGCCTGGTGCGCCGCAGCCCAGCTGGCCGCAGCCGCCTGGGATGACCCAGGAGGCGCAGAAGAGGTCGTCTCCGTTTTCCTCCATGCGCGGGCCTCTCCATTTCCACCATGGTCGCCGTGCTCGCCGTCGGGCTGCCGTTTGCTTGACAGCTCGGGGTGCGCGTCCACCGCGTTTGGGCTCGTCCAGATCGTGCGCCTGGTCGTCGTGGAGGTCGTCAAACTCTGGCGGAAGCCCGCCCAGATCAATCACCTTGAGCGCCTCAACGCCCATGTTGTCGCGCACCTTCGGCTCACTCGGCATCGCCTCCTGCAAGCCCACAAAATGCGCTGCAAACTCGGTGATGTGGCAGCATCCCTCCAGCGTCTTGATGTCCTTGATGTTGGCCCGGGCCAACATGTCCCCAGCCTCGGCAAGCTCGTTCGCCTTTCGGTTGCCGTCAAGCCGCATCTGGGTAATTAGCCCTTCGGCCACTGCAGCCTGCCCAATGTGGGCGTTGATTTTGATGGCCTGTGCACCCTCCTGCTTGTCGGCCACGTCCGTCCAGAGGTGAGTCCGCTGTGCCTTGGATCCTGCGTCCCACGGCGATGTGATGGCGCAGCGGGCCGTGGCCAGGCAGTTGGCGTGCGGCTTGTGGTCGCCACTGGCGATCTTGTCCGTCAGCATCTTCGCCGCGTAGTCCTCGCCATTCCGTGGTAGTTGTTCAAGTGCTGCTTCGAGTGGCACTGCGCCCCCATGCCGCTGCGACGAAGTGCCTGTTGGAGTCGTAGATAATGACCGGCCAGCCCGCCGAGCGCAGCGTGGGGGAATTCGGTCGGAGCCCGAGCCGTCGACGAAGACTCACCAGGCACGGTCCATGAAGGGGCCTGGCGCCGCGACGTTGTGCACCTGAGCTCCATGTCCCTGGCGCTCTCTGGCCGCCGGAGAAGCTTGGCCACATCTGGGAATCTGGGAGAAAGGCCGCTGGTGAAAAGGTCGTCGAGCGGGGGCCTTAGCTCCTTGACTCTGTCAGCCGCCAGCTTGAGGTCGGGGTTCGCCATGTCGCGGCGCCAGGCCGCATTCGCATCGCACGCGTGGCGCCTGTGATCCAGCGAGCCGTTGGGTCTTCCGCGCAGCTGGCATTTCGTCGGGATGGAAGGGTCTCTGCCTCCCGCGTGGGCCTGGCGCCAGTGGGCGTCCTGGATGAGGTCCCCGCAGGGCCATTGCTGATGCGGGGCCCATGCGTCTGACTGTTGGCGCAGCAGCTGCATGGCGGGCCCCTGTTATGGGCCTGTGTCCCAGGCCCGCGTGCCGGGGCCCTGGCGGCGCACGTCTTCCACTCCAATGGCCCCCCTGCGCGCCGGCATCACGGGCTTGCCGAAGGTGGCGGGGGGTCGCCGACGCGCGTCGGCCGCGGGCGTCGTGGATGGCGCATGGGGTCGCCGCCAACGAAGCGCCAGTCGATGCGGCCAAGCGCGAGGATCAGGGCCGAAATGGGGCCCTTCACCAGCTTCCAGGGGTGCGGGGCCTGACCTGTCTGCAGGCCTAAGCGCGTCCTGGCCACCCCTTCGGCGACGAGGCCAGCGCGCACCACCTCAACGTTGGACATGGTGGCCTGCTTGGCGGTGATGACCAGTGGTTCTCGGCGCCATCCCCCCCGCTGCGATATGCTGGCTGGCCCTGGCGAGGCCCTCTTGGGCAGGCGGCCTCGGGGCTTGACTGCGCCGACCCTCAGCTGCCCCGTGCGCCCGTCGGGGACGCCCATGATGCCGAGCCCCAAGTGGCCGCGCCAGTCGGGCCTGCCCTGAAGACTCTTGCCCGGGGGGGCCCGGGTTTGAATGGGCCTCGTGAGCTTGCGGCCATGCGCCTTGGCGATGCCCCCCTCGGCCGAGGAGACTGCCGCTCTCCTGAGAGAGCGTCGCCGCCGAGATCGCGCGGGTGTCGACGACGTCGGTGTAGTTGAGGCCCCGGTCCGCCTGTTGCGCGAGATCTATCTCGAGCGCCGTGGAGGTGGCCGGCGTCCTCGGTTTCTTCTTACTGACGGGGGGGCTTGCATGGCGATCTTGGAGTTGAGCGCTCGATGTGCCGCGGCCAGCTGCGCGGCCACCGCGCGGCTTGAGCTTGCCGCGCGGCCCGGCGAGTCGCCCGTCGCATTGAAGATCTTGGCCGCCGGGGCCACCAGGGCCGCTGCTCGCCGCGCCGGGGGGGGCGGCAGCTTGGCCGGCGCCAGCGACCGCCGCGCCGTTGATCGCAGTGGCGCAGATGAGGGCGGCGCCAATGCGTGCACGGCGCGGTGCTAGATACGTGCCGCGCGGCGCCTGCAGCCAGCCCTCGTCGAAGCTCCGGGCCTTGGCCGCGATGCGCGGCTCGTCGTGCTTGGAGAGGCCACGGAAAACAGAGCCAGCCTACGCGTCAGTCTCCCTGGCGCGGGCAACGCGCGCGCCGTGGGCCCGGGCGGCTTCGTCGCAGCCCCTGGCTGAAGGTGTGCATCAGAGTTAACGGCTGCGCCCCCGGCGCAGCAGGTGCCCCTGGCTGAAGGTGTCTATGGCGCGCCCCCAGCGGAGGCAATCTGCCTGGTGCGCGACCAGGGCCTGGCCCATGATGATGGGCATCAGGCATATTGGCCGTTGGCCTCCGTCTGGTCTCGGCGAGAAGACCATCGGCGCCGTCCAGAGCTCGTTGCAACGCGGCGACCTCTCCCGAGCGTTCAGGGTGTCCGCTTGGCGCCGCTGCATCTCCTCGCCTAGCTCCAGCAGCAGCCTCGGGTGTAAGTTGTCCGTGCCAAGGCCCGCGTTCTTGATGTCCCCGACTGCGTGGGCGCCGGCGCCCGGCGCGGGCTGGGTTCGCCCGCGGGGGCAGCCAGTCGTTGAGCACCTTGGCCAGCGCCGCCTGGCCCGCGAGTGCCGCGGGCTTATCGAGGTCGTTGTCCAGCGCCGCCGCGTGCCCCGAGTGGGTCTTCCTGATGACCTTGGGCCAGCGATCGCGATCGCTTGGGCTCCTCCTCGATGGCCTCCCACCTCGCCCTGTTTGCCTGGATGTCGGCCGTGGTCTTCTGCTCGATGATGATCTGTATCGTTCAGAGGGGCGTGAAGTATTGATATTGGTAGTTTTCAAGACTTCCAGGTTTTCCTGTTCTTCCGCGCGGGCTCCGGGGACGAAGGGTGGAGCGCATTGCGTTGCGCAGGTGATTCGCGAGATGCGCGCGGTGCATGTTTCGCGCGTCGGAGCGACCTCGGACATTCCAAGCTGCATGCCGTGCTGCTCTTGGGGAGTCCGCGAATCGCAGCTGCAGTGGCGCTGTTTGCGAGGTAACCCCTTCGAGTGCCGTTCGCGGGCGCAGCGCGCGGCGCGCGCTGCGCCCAATCGCGCGCGGCGCGGCGCGTGAATCAGCCGGCCGCGGCCGTCGGACCGCCCGGAAATTCTTTTTTGATTGTAGAATGTTTCAGAAAACGCTTCAGTTTTTCCGGCGCAAGCGGTTCCATAATTTTTCAAAAAGGAGCCCGGGAATTTCGCACAACAGCAGTTTTGACGGGTGGAATGCGCCCGCTTCGCAGGACATCTGAAGAATTCTGGAATCCGGAATTGTTCAAGATGGTTTCCGGAATATTTCAAGATCGACCCCGTAATTTTTCAATGTCGACTCTGTTGCAAAAAGTAGACCGGACCTTTTCGAAAACGTTCCTGGACTTTTTTCCCAAATTTGCCCGGAGAATTTGCCGGGGTCGCGCGTCATTTGCCTTGCTAGGTTTTTGGGATTCCGCCGAGGCGCGCGGTGCGCGGCGGCGGGCGATGGGGCGGCGCGCCACTCCCCCCCCGCGCTCGGCAACCTCAAGGGGGATCAGCAAGTGCCAAATCGGCTTCCCGACCGCTCGATTGCGAATGGGTGACCGACCAGCGGCGCCGGCCGGAGTAGACAATATCCGACGCAAAGTGTACCCCGCGCGAAGGCTGTTAGAAATCCCGGAATCCCCGGAACGTGTCAAGCGCACGT